AGCCCGTCCACCCCTGTGGGAGCAGGAAATCCTCTTCCATTTAAACCCAATGCCACCTCACGATGTTTGCTCACACGCCCCTCTCCAGCCCCTTGGTGAAGGGTCCCCTTTGTAGGAAGTTCTGTCTACAAAGGATGCTTTCTTTATTCACAGCAACAAAAGCTTGTTGGTGGGGGCAAATATTTGCATATGAGTGGCAGAGAAAATGGAAGAAGGGGGTGCCTGTGCCTCCCCCAAGCCTCTGCTACTGGTTACCCTGGGGTCCAGGCCCTAAGCTGAACAGTGACAGTATCCACCAGGCTCCAGACCCAGGCCTCTGCAGGGGGCTGGAAAAGCCTTGGCCAGCCCCCTGGGTTCAGTGCATAGCAGCCCCCAACTTCCTGACAGTGAAAATGGGAAGAAGCAGGGGGGGGGGGTCTCCCCCCCCCGCGCGCCCCCCACCCCTGCGCGCACCAACAGCGCCCCAGGCCAATGCGCGTCCTCCGCACCCTGTGCCAGGGTCCCAGCCTGAGCCACTGCGCCCCTGCACCCTCCCTGCACCTGCTGCGCCAGAGTCCCAGCCCCTTGCACCCCGTCCCATCCCCAGGGGCTGTCCTCTCTGGCCAGGTGAGCTCCCACCGGCGGGGAGCCCTGCCCTCCCCTGCCGGGGTCTCTCCCCCCACCCCACACACCCCCCCCCCGCCGCGCTGGGGGAGGGTCGCGCCCTGGGGGAGGGTCGCGCCGCTGGGCGCTGGCTGCATTGAGAAGCCAGTTTGCTGTCGGGGTCCCTCCGCCCCCCCCATGTGGGGCTGGCCTAGCAGTCACTGTCCCCCCTCGCGACGACTTCCTTTTTTGTCCAGCCGTCCCGCTCACAGCTGGAAGTGAGTGTCTCCAGGGGTGGCTGGGCTTTCACCCCCTGAAACGCCACCGCTGGGGGACCTGTTTGGGGAAGCACCTCACCTCGGGCGCGCACCTGTTTAACCGCAACACTCGTCCCTCCCCCCACCTGGCGTCCCCCAGCGCCAGCTCCAGGGTCACCCCCAGCCAGCCTTGCTGCTCTGCAGTGCCCTGTGGGGTGCCCTGTGGGGTGCCGGCCGCCTTCTCCAGCGTCCCACCTGGCTCCTGGCCACTGCCCCGGGCTGGGAAGCTGGACGCGGCGCCCTGAGCTCCACAGGGCTTCCTGCCCGCACCCCCGCCCGGGGGCCGCCCCTCTCCCGCCCAGCGCACTGGGTTCTAGGCCTCGGCCTTTCGGGGCGTGAAAGTGGGTTCCCTGGCGTCCCCTCGCTCTTGCTCAGAAGTCCCGGGGGCCCCTGCACCCGAGGGAGGAAAAGCCACCCCATGTCTCTGGCTGTGGCACCCCATGACCCGGTGGTCCTGCCCGCCCGCCCCCCGAGCCGGCCGCCGCTGTCCTCGGCCCCGGGGTGGCCGGGCCCCCCGCCCCCCCGTCCCCCCCCGCAGCTTCTGACTGGCGCCGACCTGTCTGGGGCCCCCGCGCCGTGGGGTGGCTCTGTCTCCCGTCACAGGCGTGTGCGGGCGCCCTCAGGACGCTCCCGCAGCCCGGCCCGGGCCGGGGTGTCGGGGGCTCACTGCGTGACCTCGCGTCAGCCCCGCCCGCCTCCATGTATGTGCATGTGCCGCGTGCGGTTTGGGGGCGCACCCGGCTCGGGGCTCCGCCACGCTGTGCCGTTTCCAGCCACAGCTCCGTGACCGTGAAGCCCTCAGGGCGCGGGCGGGGCCCCCCAGGAAGACAGCGCCCTGCTTTATCGTTCCTTAGGGTTATTGTATTTGCTTGTCCTGTTTTGTTTGCTGATGCGCCCAGAACTGGGGCGCAGGCCAGAGGTGTGGGAGTGAGAGGACACCCCAGAGACAGCGGGGAGCAGGACAGGCCGCCCGCTGAGGGGAGCCGCGGGGAGGCGGGAGGGGTCTGCCGCGCCCGGGGGGTGCCCCCTGGCTGGGGACCCTCCACAGTGGGGCTCCGTGGGTGTGCTCCCCACCCTGCCTCTGGGGCGTCCTCTCACCCCCCACCTCTGGCCTGCGCCCCAGTTCTTGTGTGCACACATGAATAAGACAAATCTTTTAAAAATGAAGACGGTGCACTCGGCGGTGTGTGGGTGTCCGTGGGGGACGGGAAGGGACCGACGGCGAGGTCTGGGTCCCCCCCGTGAGGGGGTCCGGGGTCCTCCGCGCCCCTCAGACGCGCGGGGCCCCGCAGAGGCGCGTGTCGGCCGCCTGTCCGTCCTGCCGCCGCGGCCGCTGGGGCCTCAGGGGCCCCGTTCGGAAAAGGAGGTTCACGCAGCCGCCCCCAGAAACACCGGCCCCGGGCTGGAGGCTGGGCTCGCCCCGAGGCCGGGAGCAGACCTGGGCCTGCCCGGACATCGTCCCGTCCTCCCTCCCCCAGGACCGCGTCCGGCCGCGGGGTCTGGGTCACCGGCGCCTGGGCCGAGCACCCCGAGGTCGGCGGCTCCCCAGAGCCAGCTCGCGTGAGCCCGAGCCCGAGCTGGGGTGCCGCCTGGGGGTGTGGCCGGAACATCTGCCCTCGGTCACGGGCCCCAGTCCCTCCTCCTGAGGCTGGGGGGCGCCCACGCTCGCCCCTGGGGGCGTCCGAGCCGGCCCCGCTGTCTCCCCGCGGGCGCGGGGCGCCCCGCTGACCGCGGCCTCTGTCTGCAGGCCAGTGCAAGCTCCTGCCGACGTTTCCTTTCGCTAAGCCCCAAGTGCAGAGCGAGCAGCCCGAGTTTGCGGTGGGCACGACCTGGCCCTTCGAGTGCCTGCCGGGGTATAAGAGGAGGACGTTCCAGACCGTCTGCCTGGACACGTCCCGGTGGGCCGCAGCGCCGCAGCCCTGCCCACGTGAGTCGCGGCCCCGTCGCTGAGCGGCCTGGGGGGCCGGCGCCCCGCGTCTCTCAGACGGGGGCCGCGCGCTTGCTGCCCGGCGTCTGGGCTGCGCAGAGCGACCCCTCGTCTCCGGGGCCTCGGGGTCGGGTCTGCGGCAGAAGGGGAGGCGGTGGCTGCCCGCCGGCCTCCGAGGGCTCCGGGCCTCGCTTCCCTACGCCCTGCGCTGCTGCGCTCAAGTGCGGCTGTTGACGGAGATAGTTCCGGGAGGTCAGAGGTGAAATACGCGCTGCGGGGCGTCGGGGCGGGGCGGCCGGGCGGGGCGGCGGGCGCCTCGGGAGCAGGAGACGCAGCGTGTGCGCGAGCGCGGGGTGGCGCCGCGTGGTGTCTTTCGAAAACAGAAAACCTCGCTGGCAGCCGCAGGTGGGGCGCCTGGCCCGTGTGCGCCGAGCCCCCCCTCTCACGGACAGCGGCAAGGTGCCTACTGCAGGGAGGGACGTGATCACCCTGTGCTTCCCACGGACAGGCATGCGGGGCAGGAGGATGCTCCAGGGGAGGAGGATGCTCCAGGGCAGGAGGATGCTCGCGGGGCAGGAGGATGCTCCAGGGCAGGAGGATGCTCCAGGGC